TCTAATGTCATAAGGTATCATTTGCAGTCGACGTAACATTTCGATTTCCGTTGATAGTTTTACTTCTTTTCTACTCTCATTTTAAATTGAAATAAAAAATGTAGATACTATAAATCTTATCAACGACGTACATACATATATATATATCCTTTTTCGAAATTGTCTTAGCAAGAAAAAGTTTTACGACAAAAAAAAAGGACAAAATAAAAGAAAGAAGAAGAAAATAAAAGAAATAAATTGACGATTGTTATCAATCAACGTCAAGGTCGTATTAAAATTAAAAAAAAAAAAAAAAAAAAAAAAACCGAAGAAGAGGAAAGAAAAAGGGGAGGACAATAAATTCCTGACAAATCTTAAGAATAAAGAAAAAGAAAAAGAAGGAAAAAGAAAAAGAGATAAATAAATAAATAAATAAATAAATATCTACGACGATCGAAATATTTTTAAGGGTATTATATTCATAATACAAAAATGTCATTTGGGATATAACCTTGAATAAGGAAGAGAAGGGAGGTTTTTCTTTTTACCAATTCACCCCTTAACTCTTGTTTGTAACAACTATAGACAACGTTCCAAGAGCGTGAAATATTAAGAAGGGTTGTCAGCAATTGCATATAATATCAAAATTAAATTCACAACGATTTAGAGGCGCATAGAGTCTCCTAACTAGTGCACATTCGTAAAGGGAAGTTGTACCTCGAGGATATCTTCTGCATAATTGACATTCATAAAACGAGTTTCTCTCTATCTCTCTCTCTCTCTCTTTCTCTCTCTCTCTCTCTCTATATATATATAAATACACATGTATATCTTTCTAAGTCTATGTTTCACTACGTTTCCTTGTACTTTAGTTTCTCTATAAACACTTCTGGATCGGTCTAATTTCTAATTCCGTTAGAATTCCTCATAAATGTCAGTTGTAATTAATTCGCAATATATTGAAATTACAATTCGCTGATATTAATTCGATTTAATTAACGTCGATCCGACCGCCACCATGATTTTTGTCTTTTGGACGATATTAAGTTCCAAAAAAAAGAACAACAAAAGAAAAACTCACTACGATCAGATTGATTTTCGGATATTTGTTTTCTTTTGATCTGCTTTTTTCTCTTTCTGTACGTCGAAGATTACTACCCTCCCCTCTTCCCTCTTTCTCTCTCTCACGATCGTGAAATATTTTTCAATACGAGAATATGAGAACGACGTTTTGACATTGCATATAGCCAGAACAATTTGACAATCCTACAGGTGGTTGCAACGAAATCCGTTCAAATATTTCAATATCACGAAATTTTACGAAATACCCAAAGCGTGGAATTTTCAAATCTGATCTTTCTATGTGTGTCTCATCTTTTTTACGATTAACTACTACTCCAAAATGTTGATTAAATCGTTTTACGGGTGAGAATTAGAAAAGAGAGAGAGAGAGAGAGAGAGAGAGAGAGAGAGAGAGAGAGAGAGAAAGAGAGAAAAAAAAGAGAAGTAATTAAAAAAGAAGAAAGTGCAATTAAATGTAAACTGATGGGCAATTTTTCTTTTTTTTGCACAAAAATAATATTCAAATGCTCCATGCATCCATTAATCGTCATTCGATATTCATCCAATCGATATTTCTATATATTAAAAAATAAATCGAGGGGAAACTCATTAATCAAATTACTCAAATATCACACATTGAATTTGTTTTGTAAGTGAGAATTAAATAAAAACAGAAAAAGGAATTAAAAATTAGAAGAAAAAAAAAAAAAAAAAAAAAAAGAAAAAAGCTGAACGAAAATTATGAACAATTTTTCTATAGAAATATCCAAACTATCTATTGTTGTACTCTCATATTTTATCCTTCACTCGATCGATATATGACACTTTACATAATCTATATAATATATAATATATAATATATATATATATATATATACACATATATAAAGTCAAGAAAACAATAAAAAAATCATTCGAAGAGAAATTTTCATCGATCAGATTTAGACGTTAAAAGATTAAAATTAGACATACTACACGTATGTATGTACATACCTTTTCGATATATCCAAGTAAAATATAAATATGTCGTTTGAAGATAATGTAAAATCGTCGAAAAGTTGGACAATTTGTCGTTCTAGATATCGCACAAAATTCGAATGAAATTTTTCTAAACTTTTTTCGTTTCTTCAAATTCCCCTCTTCCTCCTTCTGCTCCTTCTCCTCCTACCTATTCCTCCTTTTTCCTCTTCAATCTCTCCCGTCACGAATTGCGATGGGCTCTATTCTCTTCGATAGTTATGATTACCCCTAGGCCATTACTATGCGAATGGCGTCGTGAATTTGACCTATGCTACAAATCTATCTCTAGAATTCGTATCAGCTTAATCAACAAACTCGTAGTTGAGAACAATACAACGACATTGGTGACGTGTTTCTATTTGGAATCACGAAAATACTTCGTACATAGAGGTACATACGTACGTGCGTACATATGTACATACATACATATATACATATATATGTAAAGAAAATATACTTTCTTCAGGTAGATTTGCCGCGTTTCTCATGGCCCGCCCTTCCATTGTCTTTTGTTATCTACAAATTCTTTTGTTACCTACAAATCGAATTAAGATTTGGAAGAGAAACGGGCAGTAGAAAATAGAACGTAGACGATAGAAGTAGCACGAGAGTGTAGCATAAAATTTAACCAGTGTGAATAATAAACGTAAATTGTCATTTCCTTGTTCACAGAGAAACATATTTTCGTTTATCATTTCACATAATTAATCCGAGATATTATATATATATATATATATATATATATATATATATATATATATATATAAATTGATTTAAATCAAATAAAAATGTACTCTCGATGAATGTTGAAATATTAAATTACGCTTTTCTATTCTATATATTAAAGAACAATTTATCTAATTAATAAAAATACATTCAAACGAAAATTTCAAAATATTATGTTTCGATCTTTTTATTCAATGTAAAATAAAATAATTTATCTCGATTAAATAAAAATGCATCAATTCTTTCTTTCTCTCTTTCTATCTCTCTCTCTCTCTCTCTCTCTCTACAAAACATTTCAAAATATAAAATTTCTATATTCAATCTTATATATATAAAATATATAATTAAAAGGAATCTAAATATAAATAAAAATAAATTAAAAATATATATTTCGAAACATTAACACTTTCGATTTGTTATTTTAAATAAATTAAAAATAAATCTATTAAAAAGAAAAAGAAAAAGAAAAAAGAAAGAAAAAAAAATTATAAAACTTATTGCAATCGTTGAAGCATTAAATTTCAAGTAGACATTCTTGTAAGAAAACTTAGATAAACGCATAAGTAATCATAGTAAAAGCTACCACACCCCAAGTATTTTTCTTTAATTTCTCTAAAGAGAGATAAGAGAGAGAGAGGGAGAGAGAGAGAAAGAGAGAGAAAGACGTAGCAATCCAATTTGTATCTAACCGTAATTCTACGAGTTTCTCTACTACTAGTGTCAAATCAAATCGTAAAATGTATGTACGTATAAATTCGTGCGTTCGTATTAGAAAGAAAAAGAAAAGAAAAAAATTTTCAACCCTTTCTTTTCAATCCTTTCTCTTTGTAGTCTAAATTCCTTTAATCTACTTGCCTATTGTTTTCTCGAGATATTGAAGTAGAGAAAGATATATATATATATATATACGCGCACAAATATACACACACACACGCACACGCACATATATACATATATATACATACACTCAAGCATAGGATACCCCTGTATGTATGTGTATATATCACTTAGTTCTGTCTTTTTTCTCTCTCCCTCTCTTTTTCTTTCTTTCTTTCTTTTCATTTTTCTACTTCCTTAAAGTTTCTTTTTCTCGATCTCCACCTTCTTTCTACCTTCACCACTTTACTAATCCGGCATTAAACTTTTCCATCCTAACGCACGTTCCAGAATCCACAGGCTCACAGGACACTGATCCGGTATTAAAGCCCTCTTAGTAGTCTCCTTGTTCGCCGATCCTTCTCCTTGAAAGAAGCACTAATCCACTGTCGGGTTTCGCGCTCATTTTTCATACACTTACTCATCGATACTAACTACTACTACTATTACTATTACTATTACTATTACTATTATTACTACTGTTACTACTATTACGAGAAAATCAAAATATAGTTAGTTCGAGATTTAAAAGATCTCCGTTGGAAAGTTTAACGCGAGGTTACGTCTGACGTTAACTAATAAAATAACTAGAAATTTATTAAAGTAGATTATTTTACGAGAAGTCATTTAAGAAAGACGTTCGAGTTTTTCGAAGGTCTTTGAAAAAGTTTTTTTTTTAAGGAAAACGAACAGACAATCGTATTTTCTATTTTCCCTTCCTCTTTTTTTTTCTTATTTCTTTTTTTTTTCTTTTTTTGGAGAACGTTCAAAGAATTATTCCGATTCTATGAATTATTGTCCCGAGAAACAGTCTTAAGCTGTGGGAATGTTTAAGAGATAACAAAAAAAAAATATATATTCATTTGCTTGTACTCCTTTCGTTCCTTTTATTATTATTATTATTATTATTATTATTATTATTATTATTATTATTATTATTATTATTATTATTATTATTATTATTGAATATGATACAAAGGATCATTATTTATACACGTCCACGTACGAATTTGCGTCTTAAAATATGGAAGACGTGAATGTGGACGTGATCCGGTGTTTAAAATAAAAAAATAAAAAAAAAAAAAAAGGTAAAGAAAATAAATAAATAAATAAATAAATAAAAATAAAAAGTTATATATAAATTTAACAAGTACACAACAAGATGCGATATAATTTACGTACGTAAGTTCGAAAGAGATTAAAATTATTCCCACCTACGTAATATTAATGATAATTTCGTCGAATAATTTCGTCGGTCTAATCGGTTTAAATGTTCTACTAACTCTAACGTTAGAAAATTATTATCGATTAACAGAGAAAATACGCTTTGGTTGCAGCTTCTCAGCTCAATAGTCGTGGTAGGTGGTACTAACGTTGCTGGTGCGCTGACACATCATCCTAGAGAACTGGCTCAACGGCAGGCTTTCCTTGAGACCAGACAGTGCGTCGAAGCACGTTTAACTACGCAACGTGAAAATCAGCAACAGGTATGTAATAACGTTAAAAAAAAAAATAAATAAAAAAGAAAGAAAGAGAGAGAGAGAGAGAGAGAGAGAGAGAGAGAGAAAAGGAAAAGGAAAAAAGAAATAGAAAAAAAAATTAATTTATATCTAAAACAAAAACAAAAGTATGATAATTTAATAATTTATAACATTTCGTTCTATATAATTTAATAATTTAACAATTAATGATAAAATAATAAATAGAGAATTTATCAATTTATTAATTTTTTAATTTATTAATTACTAATTGACTATGCAATACGGACAGATCCGTATAACTAAGGACCTTTTATTTTCGTGCTGTTTAATAATCCATTTATAAATTATTCAATTAAAAAAAAAATATATATATATATACATACATACTGCTTACAACAAATAATAAGAAAAAATAATAAAAAAGTTAATAAGAATCGTGATGATTATAATTAAACTTACTTGATATTAAAATATATAAATTATATCAATTATATCAATTAATCAATGAATTAAATCATATGAACTGATGGCGATAAGAACAATGTCTATATTATAATGTAAGCAAAAAAAATATTGACAAATATCTCGACGAGAATACATTTACGTTTTTAATCTAATTTCGTTTGATTAAAAATAAAAAAAAAAAAAGAAAAAAGAAAAAAATTAACGAATAAATCCGTGAAAACGAATATCATGAAGAAACCGATTAATACGTTTCAATAAAATTATCATTATATATATCTATGTATAATATATATATATATATATATATATATATATATATATATATATATCGAATATTATTAATAAATGAGGTATAAACTAATCGTAAGATAAAAAAAAAAAAATAAACGTCAATACGGCGATAAGCAAAATATTGACGTACTTTCTCGATGAGAATATATTCGGCCTGAACGTTATAATCCAATTTCGTTCGATTTTAAAATAACAAATAACAAATTAATCGATCGATCAGAAACGTACGAATTAATTAAACGTTTTAATTAAATTATTATCATTATTATTATTATATAAATCTATTAAGCAAATGGATGAATGATCGATTTCGTTATCGTAATATTAAGTCAAATAATAGATCATGAACAATAATAAACAGAAAGGGAAAGAAAAATGAGAAAGGAAAAGAAAAAAAAAAGAAGGTAGACTAGAATATATAAGGATTAGTTTAAAATACGACAGAGAAATCCTTTTAACCTGCTAAAAAAAAGAAAATAAGAAACAAAGAAAAGAGAAAGAAAAAGAGAGAGAGAGAGAGAGAGAGAGAGAGAGAGAGAGAGAGAGAGAGAAGAAAAATTGCTATGATAATAATGGAGAGAAAAACTGTTTACAACGAGTAAATAGATTTTACTTATATTCAGATGATACGACAACTGGTAATATTATTTATATATCAACGAAGGATAAAATCGTGGTGAATCTTAACGTCACGCCTTTCTAAGATATGCCGCCGACAGACACACCCTTCCTTGCAGTTCAATCATTTCTCACCAATTGAAATAATTGAATAACGATGGTCTCATTTGAACGCGACTATGATAATAAAAAAGAAGAATGGTGAGGCTAAAATTTCCCCAGGTGATATTACAAATCAATTATACCCTTTCGCCTGAGGTTAACGTGCTAATTTTATTTCCTCCCTCCCTTTTCCATTTTTTTCCTACTTCTTTTTCTTGAGATTATAAAACTCTAAGATAAAAAATAAGATAAAAAAGGAACTTTTGGAAAATAAACTTTGTTTTTATAAAGGGTCTTTTCCCAATGAAATTACGACGAATCTTAGATTATATGCACGATCGAACATCTTCTTCTTCTTCTTCTTTTTCTTCTTGTTAATCCAATCGTTGAAAATGTGAAAATTGAATAGCATTAAGTCAGCCTCTATCATCTTTTTTCTTCAATATGTCGGAAATAAAAATAAAGATAATGATTTCCAAAACTATCGAATGAAAAGCAAACGTTTAAATATATATATATATATATATATTGATAGACAAGAAGCTGGATTTTATAAATAATAATGCACGTAGTTCAATTAAAAATTTTTAAATTACAATGTAGTATGCAGCCAATTAGCTCAGCAATACTTTCGTTGCTTACAATGAATATAATAAATGCTACACCACAAATAATATCTAAATTCTTCAAGTCTTACCATGTATGGTGATTATTATTTAAGATGACCAACTTTATAATAGATATATATATATATATATATTATATATTTAAATACATATTATTATAATCTATGAAACATTTTAACTGATATATCACGTTAAATAAAAAGGGAACGTTTTTAATAAATAACATGTGTAAAGTATAAATCACGCACATACGTGGTGCACACGTATTGATGGTGTAAACAAATATTTACATAAGAAGATTATTATTGTTATTATTATTCCTAACTTAGCGATTAATTTACGTGGTGTTTACTTTCGTCCTATGATCTCGCGTGTCGACACCATTCTGTTCAGTGGAGAGAGAAAAGAAAAAACAAAACCAAAAAAAAAAAAAAGGATCTCGCCAATAGAGTTTTTCTTATTTCTTATCTACTCGTTTTATCTCTACACGAGGTTTATCGATATTATATTGAGTTTTACTTACACGTAAATTCTTATGTTCACTTAAAACACCATATATACATACATACCTTTCTATTCTTGTTTATCCTTGTGCTTCTTTCTCTTTCTCTTTTTCTCACTCTTCACTGCATTTATCTCTTTATGTCGTGATATATATATATATTTCCAAAATTATGGGATTTTCTATAAATACGGATGTATTTTCTATAAAATCGGACGTCTTCTCTATATGATTTAAAAAGACACTAAGTGTCGATTTTGTATACAATTTTGAACGTGAAATTAATTTTACATATTGACATATATATATATATATATATAAAATATTTATGTCATGAAAGTAAAACGACATCAAAGCCACAAATATTATTTTCGCGAATAATTCTTATTAAAGATGTTTGAACGTAATTGTTGATGCACACCATCTATAAATCGAGATATCGTCGGATCGATGAATATATTGGTAAAAAAAAGGTACCTTGAAATTAATTAATTAATTAATTATCTATAATTAAAACGAGAACGTAGTTAACCGTGTCATGTCGGTAGCGAGACTTACGAAGAAATATGGCGTCGAACCGGCATGAACGTTCGTGTCGCCAAATGTTGACGATCGGTCCCGAAGAGTACCGAGATCTGTCGAGAAGTGACGAATGATGCCGACGATCATTTCTAACACGTGCAAAAGCTTCTCTTTCGTTAATACATTTTTATAACCTATAAAATGATATATTTCGTATATATATGTATACTTAAATAAAATGTAATAAGTATTATCGGTGTATATATAATTATGATATACGATCGAATTAATATAATTACGATAATAATAATGACTGAAAATAGGACAAAAGAAATTTATATATGTTGTGTGTGTGTGTGTGTGTAATGTGTATAGCAGATGTAATACGAGGTATATCATAAAAAGAACAAAATCTTTGTAGAATTTCTTTTGGTTTTTTAAAAGATAGAAATATCGATTCTTATCGATCTATTTTTTTTTCAAAAAATAATCACGAAACAATAAATAAGTACAATGAATTAATGTGACAATCAACGTTGATACAATACTTCGTATTCTTTCGATATAATACGTACTTTTGAAACATTCAGAATGTTTGATAGTTTCTCTGTAAAGGCGATCAAAAACTGTCGATACCATGTTTAACCACGTGACGAGAATGTTAATAGAGAAATATGACGTCGATTGAAAATAGTTCGACGAAATGATATTATAAATTATTCAATTTAATCCATTCGATTAATACAACATTTTTTCTTTTTTTTTCTTTTCTTTTATTACGTCAACGACGTGATTTAAAGTCTTAACGTCGAGTCTTTCGATCGGAATTTTTTCTTTTCCCTTTTTTTTTTTTTTTTTTATTTGTTTATTTGTTTCTTTCTTTTTTATTTTTCAATTATATCGCGTCAAAGTTGTGAAAAAATTAATAGAATTTATTTTCCATTGAAACAATAATGAATGATATTTAACGATGTTAAACAACAAAACGATTTATAGTTTGCTTTGTTTTCTTTTTTTTTTTCTTTTTTTTTTTTTTTTTCTAAAAATATATAAACACGTTTCATCATCGTCGTGGGTGGTCGCTTCGTAATTCCACGAGGCATTGTGTACTTAATCAGAAATCGCGAACATGTATCTCGTCGATAAGCATCTCTGTCATTGTCCACGCTTCCTCGTTTATCGTGAACAACCGTTCAGTATGATCGAAGGGAAACGTCGAGAGAAATGCGAACATCGATCTTTGTCTTCCGATTATACAAGGACTTGTATCAACGAAAGTTTCATCTTTAGATCTAGAATTAGAACGGATGAAATCCTTTGAGCTCAATTAAAACGATTTTTGCATAATTCATTGTATAATTGCATTGCATAATTCATGAATTTTTTTTCTTTTATAAAGACAAAATTGGAAATGCATTTTCGAAGAACCTATTGATTATTATTTCCTTGATTTCGAAGAATATATAGTACTTTTTTTTTAGGGAAGAGGGAGGAGGAGTAAAAATTATTCATTCTGTATAAATGATGACCGTTAAAAATGTCTAGGATCTGGCATATCTCAAATGCACAATAACAAATTATTTTGAGTTGTGCACAACCAGGGTTAAGAAAAAAAAAAAAAAAAAAGAAAATACTGACTATTTGTCAAGCAATATATTAAATTTTTGTATATATAGATATTAGAAAAAGAAAAAACACTAATTATGTTTTCTAATTTATTTATATTAAGACGAACGAATGATTACGATCGATTATGCATTTACAATAATATCTCGCCGTTTCGTTATTGTTTTAATATTTTAAAAATCATAGCTACTACTGTAAAGAAATTATAGTGTTTTTTCGTAAGTTTAAATCTACTGCTAAATCTTTTTTCTGGTGCTTGTCATAAAAAAAAAAGAGAAAAAAAAATTAGAAAGCAAAAAAAAGTATTTGGGAAATGATACAAATTCAATACAAGAAAAATTACGTTAATAAAGTAATTAATGTTTACTTATGCAATTTAGTGACTTATGTATTCCGTTCGAATGAAAAACAAATTTGTTGAAGAAACGAGTCGAAAGGGTAAAGAGTTTTTTTTTTCCTTTTTTTTTTCTTTCTTTCTTTTTTTTTTTTTTTTCTTTTCTTTTCTTTTGACGAAGCGAGAAAAGCCAAGCGAGAGAATGTATCGTAAAGTGTAAATGTGTTTCCGTCAATCATCTCTACGACCATTCTCTGACATATTTGTCTTACGATGCATCGCGTTGTTTAGAACGATAAAAAAAACCTCCCTCTCCTTCTCGTTTACAAACTTCTCCTTCTCTTCCTTTCCGCGAGTATTTTTTTCTTTCTTTTATTTCTTTTTCTTTTTTTTTTTTTCTGCACATCATGCGATGTACTTACTTAACGCGTCGAATTTCTTTTTCTTTTTTCTTCTTCTTTTTCTTCTCTTTGTTTTTCTTTTGTGCTTTTTCTTCTTCTTTTTCTTTTTCTTTTCTGTCTCCCCCTACACTTGACAACGCAACCAGGACATAAACGGGCACGTGTAACGCACGTTAAACTTATCTTTGCTCGATGATAAAGAAAAATTGAACGAAATTTTATAAGATGAATAATAAATATCAACATAAATGATATTCGATGATAAGGGAAAGACATGTTCATAACGTCTACAACGTTAATGTCGTTATGGATGTGAAAAGTTTCGCTGGGCTTTGACGTCAAATTTATCTCATTATGTTTCACTATGATACGTGAATCGGTATACGATTATAATATATAACAAATTCCCACCCCATACCATCCTCCCACCTTCTCCACGCCCACAACCGCCCGTCCGGCCATCTCTGAACTAAGATGGTATCGTATTAGATGACATCATAAAGGGATGTAACGAGAGAAAAAAAAAAGGAGAAAAGAAAAGGGGCAAAAAGATTATGTAACTATGAAATAATTAAGGTTTCTCATTTTTTTGTCTTTTCTTCTTTCTTTTCCTTTGAATGCACATTATCGTAAAAAGAAAGAAACAAAAAAAAAAAAAAGAAAAAAAAAGTAAGATCGCACTTAAGCTAAGCTACGGTAAAAAGTTCTTACGATAATTTTAAAAAATCAATTTACACGTATTCGAGACATATCAAAATGATTTTCTATTGTCAGTAATCACGAGATCTGTTTAAAATATATATTCTATTTTGTCTTTTACACTTTCTTTTTTTTCTTCTTTCGTATTTTTTCTTTTTTTTTCGTATCTTTTTTTTTTTTTTTTTTTTTTGTAAACTCCGAAAAAAAACGCAAAGAAAAAGGAAATCTGTATTACAGGGAGTCGAGAATTATTTGCTCTTCCAACATGTCCCAGTCGTTTACGTCGACTTAATTCCTAAGAACTCCAAGAGGATAGAGATATAGGAGATAAAAAGAGGACAAAAGAGATATCGGAAATGCGATTGTCGTGTCACGATACCGTTTCGAAATAGACGGTTTGACGTTGAAAAATGTTGAAGAGCTTTACCATCGTAACAAAATGTCTGAAACTATGAACATTTTTCTCTTGAATCGAGGGGAAAAAGAAAAAAAACAAAAAAAGAGCAACAAGATTAAGAAAGAAAGAGAAATCAACAAAATCATAGTCGATGAGATTTTCTTTATTGATAAATTTATTGAAAAAAGGAAAACGAAAAAAAAAACAAAATAATAAAAATAAAGAAGAAAATAAAAGAGAAAAAAAGAAAGAAAGAAAAGAGGCCAAGGAGTGAACGAAATGTAATTTTTATTTATTTCTCTCTCTTTCCCTCTCTCTCTCTCTCTCTCTCTCTCTCTCTTTCTCTTTCTCTCTTTTCGTTTTAATATTCTTACTATCTCCTTTAAAAAAATCTCTATGTAATTTAACTGGAAAAAATTTTTTTCCTTTTGTTTTTATTTCATTTTTCTTTGAAACTGAAAAGTCTGAAAACGTATTCTGCACCCTCTCTAAGATTTGATGAATTTTTCACAAACATGTCTATAATGTCATCTCTCCTTGAGGCAGTTGAAAAGAAAATAAAAGGAATAAAATAAAAAATAAATAAAAAGCAAAAGGAGGAAGGAAGGAAGGAAGGAAGGAAGGAAGTAAAGAAGGAAGGAAGGAAAGAAAATAAAAAGAGAATAACAAGATAGAGAGATCGTTTTTGAAAAAGAAAATCTTCGAGTTAAACCTGGCAAAGGCTCGAATTTATTGGCTTTCATTCGAGATTGCAACGGGATTTCAAAGATTTCAAGGTTGGGCTTTGTAAGAAAGGCAATATTTGGTGGAATATCAAATGTTCAACGATTGTCCTTTACTCTTAAAATATTCCGCAAAAGATTTCGAAACATATCTAAGATGTAAGAAATTTGATCTCAAAGAAAAGTAAAAGACAAAAAAACGATTCTATATACAGTATATATATATATATATATATATATACGATTATTTATATATGATTTATGAATCGAATAGGGTGTTATAGAGGAATAAAATTAATGGGAGAAAAAAATGTGCTGAAGATTACGTCTAAAAAAAAAAAAAAGGAGATAAATATAAATAAAAAATAATAATTAATAAAATAAAAAGAATTAAAATATCCAATCAATGAAATCAGTAATTTAAATCATATATATATCATACATATCGTAAATATGTTAAATAACATTTTGTACAATATAAGTGAAGTAAAATATTATTTTTCGATTAAGTAAACATTTGGTTGTACGTATCTGTTCAGAATTGGATTACATATTTTTGTTGATACGATACTACGACTGACTGTACCACATTTTGAAGGTAAATTAAATTATTCTTCTTTTTTTTTTTTTCTCTCGTATCCAATTGAGAACGTTCGTTTGTATTGCCCACCCATTTGATATTCATAGAATTAATATTCTCTTGATATTCGAGTGAATACATAGTATATATATATCGCATAACATCGAATCAAATATTATATATACATATACATTTGTATACACATACATATAAACATTACATACATATACGCATAAACACCCACACATATATACACAATTAGTTAGATGTAAAATATACATCATCAAAGATAGATGTATATTATGTAGGGAAGCTGTGTAACGAAGCATTAATTATCCCAATGAGTAAATTTAACCTCGTTATTATACACATATATATACATAACTTTTACATATACATATATAATATAACTTTTAAATCAATGATAAATCTTCGATTTCATACGGTTTTCCTATGGATCATTCTAATAAATTCAATAAATGATGATAAAATATGTGCTAAAAATGATGATAGAAATTCTAACAAAATTTTATTCACTTAAATCGCGTCATGCAATTTGATTTTCTCGAGAATCTTGAAAACGAAAGTAATTGATAAAGAGCATCTATTTATACGTGCGTACCTGCATGCGTGCGTGCATACATGCGTGCGTACGTGCGTACGTGCGTATGTGTGTGTATAAGAGAGAGAGAGAGAGAAAGAGATTTAAAATTTCAATGAGACTTTATGCTCGTCGATTCACAGTCGAGTTAAATCGATTACTTGCTATACGATAGCTCTGCATTTGCATTGCACGCACGTATAATTACGTAGGCTTTACCTACGTGAACCTACTCTATTGCTCTACCTACGCTCTATACATACGTACTATACAAACGGAAATATACTATGTATATATCTGTGTGTATAATATATATATATATATATATATATATATATATATATATTTATGCAAACCTAAGGATCATATGAATTATATTAATAGATTCTCGATTGGTCAAAGTTTATAAATTTATTGTGTATAAAAACGTAAGTTTTTTGAAAACGTTTTTTCTCTTTTCCTTTTTATTTTTTCTTTTCAAATAAATACCTACGAACACGAGAGATAGAAATTTTTTTTTTTTTATAATTAATTTCGAAAGTTCGTTTGATTTATATTGAAAAAAAAAAAAAAATAGGAAAAAAGAACTCGTACGATGATTGTATCGAGCAAACGTCAAATTATTTACCAAACGCATTTCAGCATATATATATCAATATAATTTTTCTTCAATATTATTTTAGGAAAGATTATTGCTGAGCGTACTTCCAAGGCATGTTGCAATGGAGATGAAGGCGGACATTGCTGGTAAACCAAAAGACACGATGTTCCATAAGATTTACATTCAACGACACGAGAACGTTAGGTGAGTTCTCCTTTTTTCTTTTTTTTTTTTTAACACATTTTCCTTTCGTTTATTGTTTTTATTTTTCTTTCATTTAATGTTTTTTTTTTCTTTTCTTTCCTTTATTATTTTTCCTTTTGAACGGAAAAAATGTATCATCAAGAATCCATCCCGAAAATATAAAAGAGAAATTTCTGAAAGTACCTAACGTTTTAACGACTTTGTGTCGTATTTGTTCGTTCGGCGAAATAGATTTTCTCACAGACGAAAAGAGGGAGAGAGAGAGAGAGAGAGAGAGAGAGAGAGAGAGAGAGAGAGAGAGAGAGAGAGAGAGAGAGAGAGAGAGAGAGAGAGAGAGAGAGAGAGACAGAAGACTCGGAAAAGCCTCGCACTTGACATGTAATTTAGCAAACGACAAGGCAGTATTGTTCGAATACCCAGAAGTTCGTTTTAGCGGTTCACTGTTTCTTTGAATGTAATTTGGAGTCAACTTCGTAGCGATTAAATTTTTGCTACCACGAATAGAACGGGATATTCGTCAACAATTTATTACGTCTCTTTCTCTACGATGGGGGAGTTTCACATT